CGCTAACCAGCATATCGATCTTCGTTTGTGTAAAATTATATTGTAATATTTATATTGTGATTGAAATCGTAATAAGCAAGTTAAGAATAAAGAATATATAAATATCTCTAGGCGCGCATTTTTGTAAAAATGAAACAATCCATTTATATAATCCCGCTCCGGCTAAACAGTTTTTAGATACTTTTAGGGTAGTGACATATAAGACCGGCAAAGTGTCTGGTTGATTTATTTCACAGCCCTACTACAATATAGGGGCGCGTTACATCAACGCAACACACATATCATTTACAATCATACGAAATAATCTCCACGACGTTGTACATAATGCGTGACCGCGCGGTATTAGTATACTTATAATACAATAGATTATTACATTATTAATCGCACATAATTCATTAGTATCTTGCTCATTTACCATTTACCAATGTGACAAAAGGCAACATTTATTTTGTAATTGTTATCGTTAATGTTATTATCGTCGGTGTGTTTAATACACATATACCATGACAATAGTAATTCGCTCGCCGTTTCGACGGAAATCACGTAGTCGCAGACAATGAATGGTGGTGTCGTTAATATGCCGATAAATACACGCGTTGCTTGAACCGACAGCTTTGATGCCGCTTCGGTTTGAGCCTCGCGAGACGATTTTTGCGTTCTCCAGTGACATCGAAAAAAGAATTACCAAAAGCTATAGCCAAGAAATTTGCTCTCTAATAGTGCGTCACGAATAATACTCGCAAAAAGAAAATCTAAATTTCGAAAATTAATTCTTTGACAGAAAATCGTGTTCTTCTTCGGATTACTATATTGAGAGATCGTCTCGGTGAGATTCACTTACAAGCCTTGTCGATGTGAGCGTCATATATGTATTTGTGTATGTATAAAATACGAGAATTCTACAGATAAAAGCCTAGAATATATATTATACCTGGAGCCGAGCACCTGTCTCTCTGCATTATACTATCTTCGGTTGCGTAAACTCGAGTGTATAATGTGTATTTCTTTTTATTTTTATAAAGCAAACATTGCATTTTGAAATACATGGGCAAGTTATGTTCGATTATCGCATTAAAAGATATTGGCTGTTAATTGCATCGAGATCGATTAATTCTAGATGTAAATGAATCTTTTCTCTCTAAATATGTATACGATATATTATATAGGATAGCTATGTGTATTATATAGCTAGCGCGCATTAAGAGACATTTATCTTATATCAATATGATATATGAACAAGGAATCTAATTTTGTGATTTGGCAAGAAAAAGATCGAACACATCGTATACCTAAGTATATACGACGTTTCCTTCTTTTTCTTTTTTTTTTTTCTTTTTTCGCGAAGTGACGGTGGTGCTCGACGACGAGAGGCTGTAACGGTGTCAAAATTTACAGCTAGTGCTCACAACGACGTTGGTCCGACGTGTTTACGATATATTGCAGTCAAAGATTGCGCGAATAGGCAGGAACGATAATAATAAGTTAATAAATCTATGACAGTCTAGTATCGAGTTATACTGCTCCTCTTTTTTTTCTTTTGTTCTATTATAATATTTTCAACCATACACACGCAACGCTACTTTTTTTCCCCCTTTATGATCTCTAAATAAATACATTTACATATTTCGTACTGTGCTCGACGGCCGAAATCGGTGAAATACGTTTATTTATAATATTTCACGTCCCGTCGAACACATTATTATAATACATCGTAATTGTTTTGCTCACGTGTGCGATGAGATGCTCGCGTGTAAACGTCTCGCGTTAACGTATTACACATATACATAGTTTTTAATATATACCCTGGTTTTATCAATTAATATATTATAACATACGTATATATAACAATGCTCGTGTAAATTGACTCGTTTACTTCATACAATATCGGTCTGCCGTATATGTACATGTCCTAATATATATATATATGTATATATACAACGCATCGGTATTATATAAAGCGCACACGTCCTCTACGAGCAAACTATACATTTGCGTATGTGTACCCTACCATACTTCTTTTTTTTAAATTGATTATTCAGTCGCATGCTTAGTTAATAATCGCGTAATTTGATTTACGTAACAACTGTATGTATATTGAACTCGTAGTTTCGTAATAAGGAAAAGTAGACAACGCACTGTATAGGATGACACATATAACAATCTTGCATTCGACTTCTCATACAAAATGCAATTAATCGAAATATAGCGAAAATAATTATTTTTCCTTTATATGCTAAAATTCTTGTATAATAGTTTACTCACTGATCTCTAATTTACTTCCACATATGCTGTTTCAAAAAGAAAGAATTTCTAATAAAGTTCAAACAGTGTAATTATTAATTATTAAATATTAGTGGAAGCAATTTTAAGAAATTCACATTTTTACATCACGTAAATTTAACACGCATGTTTAGGTTTTTTTAAAGAGAGATATTTAAAAATTTTACGAAAATTTAAAAATGTACAAACTTTCCCTGCGCTATTGGCTCTTTGCTGCTACTGGTTATAATGCTCGATTTGTTTTTATGCTAATTTTATGCATATACGATTTGATAGCGTTTAGTAAAATCTGTGGCTAAAAGTGTAAAGTCAAAAGAGAGAATGTAAAACATGAAAAACATGTTTCGTGAAAGCAAGCGTATAATTTGCGTATTTATTATTTCACTAAAAATTTTGGAGGCTTGATATGTTGTTCCGCATCAGAGAATTCAATCATATGCACAAAATTCATCAAAGACAGATTGCTTTAGAAGAGTAGTGACTGCTGAAAATTATTCGCGATATTCAAATTCTGTGAATAAACATTTTTAGTTTAGGAGATTTGGGAGTTATTCTATACATAGGCGACGACAATTCTTGTCTGTATAATCTAATACAGAACTTGGCCGATAAGAAGAGAAGTAGATATACATTTTATTACACACATTTCGTATCTTTCAGCAAGATCCCGCACTACTCTCAAGAAGTCAATATTTCTTTGCCAACACATTAATTAATATATTAGAATAGAAATCCTTATATCCTAGTGATGAAAAACTATGGAACTTACGACGAACACACACACAAATCTCTATTTTACAGACGTTAATTTTTAACATTCTACAGATCGGTTCCCGTATGCGATTATCTAATGTGTGGATCCTCAAATGCCCTATGACTCTATCAAAAATTTACAATCAATATCATTCTATAGCTCGAAAATAAAGGGAAGGAAGTCCGTGTTCGATCCATAGGAAATTCACGCCATTTTTATAGTCGGCATAAATTAGCATGATTTTGAAACGCTGAATTTTTCAGTATGTATGCAAATAGAATACTAAGCCACAGAATCACATTGGTTGATCTAGTTACATTGATTATTTTCAAGTCATGTGACAGCATAGCAAAGTACAGAATCTGGCGGAACATGCGCCGAGACAAAGTATTTACTCTGTAATCTCTAATCACATTCATCTATTGTGGATTCGATGCAGCGTCATATAAAAAAGGACGATTCGAGAGTTTCGTGCCTAACAAAATCTCGTCTACATATTACAAACGCGAGGCTTTTTGATCGACGTCTCATTTTGATCACTTTCTTTCGGTGAAACAATTACTTTGATTGCAGACTTAGACGTATAGAACAGGTACGTAAGAGTTAAAGACTTTTTTTTCTATCTTGTCCTTCCATTCCGAAATCGCTGCGTTGCTATGCTGCTACCTGATAACATCCAGCAAAATGTGAACAGCCGATTTTTCAGGCGCGACAAGCTGACTTAGGCGTATTTAGTAATTGCTATTTTTTTTTCTTC